ACACATGAAGTATTATAGTATCATTTGAATATGGACTTAGATGAGATAAAAATGTATTATGAACTCTAGAGGAAGAAAAATACTGTGATCTCACTTATGTGTAGAATCTTAAAAGAAAAAAGAAGAAATCTGAACTCATATAGAGAACAAATTAGTGGTTGCCAGAGCCTGGGAAGGAAGACATATATGGCAATGGATGTTAAACAGACTTACTGTGGTGCTCATTTTGCAATATATACAAATATCGAGTCATTATGTTCTACAACTAAAATTAATATCTTATATGCCAATTGTATGCCAATTAAAAAATAGATGTTCAACATCATTTGTCACTAGGAAGTTGCAAATTAAAACAGTAATGAGATACCACTACACACCTATTAGAATAACTAGTATTCAAAACACTAACAAGCACCAAATGTTTGTGAGAATGTGGAGGGAATGTGCTGGTGGGAATGCAAAATGGCATAGGCATTTTGGAAAACAGTTTGGCAGCTTCAAAGAAAGCTAAACATAGGCTTACCGTATGATCCAGCAATAGCACTCCTAGGTACTTACCCAAATAAGTTGAGAAGTTATGTCTACAGAAAACCTCCCACACAAACATTAATAGCAGCTTTATCAATAATTGCCCCAAACTGGAAACAACCAAGAAGTCTTTGATTAGGCGAATGGATAAGCATGCTGAGTACCTCCAAATAACAGACTATTATTTACTGATAAAAAGAAATGAGCTATGAAGCTGTGAAGCCATTAAACGACACGGAGGAATCATGTTGCCTAGTGAAAGAAGTCAGTCTGAAAGGCTATATACTATATGATTCCAACTCTAACACATTCTGGAAAAGACAAAACTACAGAGACAGTAAGAACAGCAGTGGTTTCAAGGGCACCTGGGTGGCTCAGCTGGTTAAGAGTCCGACTCTTGGTTTCGGCTCAGGTTGAAACCCGTGTTTCGTTGCTGACAGCACAGAGCTTGCTTGGGATTCTCTCTCTCCCTCTCTCTGCCCCTCCCCCAATCACTCTCTCTGTCTCTCAAAAATAAATAAATAAAACTTAAAAAAAAATTAAACAAAAAAAGAACAGCAGTGGTTTCAGAGGCTGCACAGTGAGAGAGGGAAAAGATAATTAGGTGGAGCATAGGGCCCTTTTAGGCAGCAAAATATTCTATATGACCCCGTAGTGGTGGATAAATGTCATTATACATTTGTCAAAACTTACATAAATAATTGTACAACAAAGAGTGAACCCTAATGCAAACTGTGGACTTCAGTTAGTACTTCAATTCTAACAAATGTGCCACACTACTACAAGATATAGGGGAAACTGTGGGGGTAGGGTTAGATAATATGGGAATTCTCTGTTATTATCTGTGTTCCATGTTTCTATAAACCTAAACTTCTCTAAAAAATAAAACCCATTAACTTTTTTTTTTTTAAGTACACTATGTGGCCTTGCCAGATACAACTCATATTTAGTACAGCTTTAACCTGAAGAATAGGTATGAGGAAGGGATCAATTGTAGAACTCATCAAGCTGAAACATAACAAAAGGGATAGGAAAAGAATTGCCTCTAGTTATACAAACCCTCTCAATTACTATCAAACAGGAGGACACTCAAATTTGCTTCTTTCAATAGATTAATATTCTAATTTGTTCATTTCAATCTCTTGTCTTAATCACACCTTGACTGATGCTTAGAAAAAGTAAAAGCATGCAAGTTTATTTGTAGTATTTTCTGGGCTGTTACTCTCCTCCTCCTTAATGCATTTGATGCCTTCAATTTAATTTATATTATAAAATCCACCTCCTTCAACCTATTCTGCTTTTGAGCTTTCTAATACAAGAACTGAGTGACATATACAAGCTGTGGTAATGACGGAGCCATTGTTAAATTCTTAACCTTCAAGAAGAGTTAAATCATGCCGCCTAGTGAATTCCTAAAGAATTTCATTAATAATTGATTTCCAGAGCAGTGTTAAATGTGAAATGTATCATTTGTATAGAAAATCAGTGATTTTTTCCAAAATTACCATGTAAATATATTCATTTACATAAAATGTTTATATCTTTATGTCTTTACAGAGGATCTAAATTTCACAAGGCAAACCATGGTGATCTGTAATCCTAACACTGGTCCAGAATCCACATGGTTCCACTTCTACTCCCTTCTTTTCTGGGCTGGCAGGTGTTATCCCATTGCAATGGGAAAAAAGTAGGCTTTGCAATCAGAAAGATCTGAGTTCCAACTTTTCTGGCATTACTTTACTTAGTTTTTTTCCTTATCCCTAAAATGGGGTTAATTACACTTTTATCATACGGTATTTATGACAATGAAATGAGATACAATATGTTAAGCATCTAGCATTTAGCATGCTGTAACAATAATTAGTTCTAGTTTTCCTTCTTTACCTTCTCATCTGTCAACCCAGCCAAATCAAGTTTGTATTCTTCCTTCATCTAAACTTTTACCATTACTCCATTTGGACGACCCATGCAAAATCCCAGCTTCTTTAGCAATGCATTCCACCTTGAAATTATCTGATATTGCCCCACAACTGAAATCCTGAAACTACACTATCCCACCCTCTGCAGCCTCTACTTTGAGCATTCACTCCCTTACCTTCTGGATTCTAGTTCCAAGGCCTTACCCCACCCTACCTCCTTTTTTCTTTCAAATGTAACAGCTCCTCCAGGTTTCACTCAGAAGTCTTTATCCAGCTTCAATTCTATAGTGCATTACTTGAATTACTACTCTGTCCATCTGTAATACCAGCCCACAAAATCTAATCTGGAACTAGTCCAACTATCTGTTCTTCCTACAACTACATCTCAATAGCTGAGCACTAACATAAATCACGCAACTGAGTAGATTAGTACCAGCATACACTGAGGGTAAATTACCTGATCTCAGAGAAAGGCTCTGAATGTTGTGTGACAATCCACAATGGTTCCTGATCCAATCAGCTTCCCTTTCCCTTTCCTCTCAGTGACCATTCCACACCTTTCCCAATCTCTTCAAGCCTCTTATACATTATTTTCAGCCTCATAACATAGAAAAGATACAATCATCTCTCCTATTAAATTAAATTAAAATTCTACAATTTCTCTTACAATAAAGGCATAAGTACTTTTGCCTCACATAATCTCCTTCCCTTCCCTCTCTGAATGCATCACCCACTCTGTCTTCTCACTCTGCTCCAGCCACGGTGGCCACCCTTACAGCTCTTCCAACACATTAAAAACAGTATTGTAGGAATTTTGCATTAGCTGTTCCTTCTGCTTGGAATAGTCTTTCTCCAGATGTCTGCATGGCTAATTCCTTCACTTCTACAAGTCATTCTTTCTTTTTTTAATGTTTACTTATTTTTGAGAGACAAAACCTGCTTGCACACAAGGAGAGAGAGAGAGAGAGAGAGAGAGAGAGAGAGAGAGAGAGAGAGAGAGAGAATCCCAAGCAGGATCCACACTGTCAGTGCAGAGCCAGGTGCTTAAATTCACAAACTGTGAGATGATGACCTGAGTCAGATGCTTAACCAACTGGGCCACCCAGGCACGCCAGTACAAGACTCTCTTCAAATGGTATCCACTTAATGAAGTCTAACCATCCTATTTAAAATTGCAACACCACCTCCAATCTTCCCCTCCTTCCCAACGTCCCAATCTTCCTTATCTTGCTCTATTTGTTTCTTTTCTCACAGCACTTACCTTCTAACATCCTATATAATTTACTTATTTATTGTGTTTACTACCTAGTGGTCCCACAAGAAAGACAAAACTATCCCACCTTCCCTTTAAAAACAAGCCAAAGTTATTAGGAATGAATTTTCTCAACTTCAGCCTTCCCCCTTTTAAAGTTAACTACATTAACACCCAACTCAGAATCCATTAACTTCCTCAGAAAAGGAACTATCTCAGCTCTCCACCATGTTCCAAATCTAACTTCTTCCTGTCTTTTCCAGGACTCCACTCAACCACATTTTCTTTATATTTTTTTACTGCTATTCTCCTTCCTATGTACTTCAACCGCCCTCTCCTCTGGCTTCTTTCCTTCAACATATAGATATGCCATTAAGAAAATAGGTCTCTCAGGGCACCTGGGTGGCTCAGTCAGTTGAGCATCCGACTTCAGCTCAGGTCATGATCTCACGGTGAGTTCGAGCCCCACATCAGGCTCTGTGCTGACAGCTTGGAGCCTGGAGCCTGCTTTGGATTCTGGTCTCCCTCTCTCTCTGCCCCTCCCTGTTCGTGTGTGCGCGCTCTCTCTCTCTCTCAAAAATAAACATTAAAAAAAATTTTAAAAGAAAGAAAATAGGTCTCTCTGTAATATCTGCCCAATTTCCAATTATCCTCACTGTATTTAAGGATCCCTAGTTCATTGGCAGCAGTTTCTGCTAGAATTCTTGACCCACAGAGAGGAGCAATCCCACAGTTCTTCATGGATGCTGGGGTTCTCCTCACCAATTTATTTCTCACTTTCATGGTGAAAGGTATCTCCTCTAGACCCTCCCAGAGCGGGTGAGTTGTTCTTACATGATTAAGACACCTTACCATTCCAATCTCCCTAGGCCTCTGGATCCATTTCTCTGTAATATAGCAAGGCAGGTCTGGTATTTTTAACTTCATTTGGGGGGGGGGGTCACCTTTTGTCCATGCTTCAGCCAACCAACCAAACCCCTAAGGCTACAACAGTGAATCCAGAATCTTTGCTTAGTGGTCCCTATTATCAATAAATTTGGCCTTGTCCAACTTTATGTTCCTTCCACCATTATCCCCCACCTTTAATATCCATTCCCACAAAAATCCCCCAGATTTCTACATGTATAAGTCAAAATAAATCATGTGGTTTTTAGAGTGCAGCACACCTTGTTCTGGGACACACTTTGTAGCTTCCCCTTGAGGGCCTGCGGGGACTTGGGAGTCTACTTATAGGTCTAGAAACAAAGAAAGGTGGTAGGGGTAGTTCCTGAGGAGAATCAGTTGTCTTGCAGGGCAATTACCTCAGGGAAGGTACCATTACAGGGACTTCCCACAAAGCAAGGTTAAATTCTTCAAAGAGGAGTGGAAGGACTGCTTCTACGGGCAAAGACAATGGATTAAAATTAGGCGTTCAGTACCCCATTCCAAATTTAAGGATTACATTCCTTCTCAATCAATGCCCTCATTTTAATAGCAGATACTCTGCTATACATTGTAATTCAGCCACTTTGCAGGATGAGACTTTGGGTTTGGTTTTCAGCAATCTCAGCTCTGCAATTACAGGAGATAAGTTTCTTTAAGGCAGATATAAAAAATTTCAGGTTATTTATGTAGAGTTTGAGCTGGGAATCTGAAGACCTGAGTTCATCCTTTTCTTTTCCCTTTCCCCATCACAGTTAGTAGCCAGCAGTCAGCAACCAGTCTCATTGTCCTTGTTAATTTGACAAAAATGTTTTAAGTCATCAAATATGTGATCATCCCATCCTTATCTTGTATAAATACTTGCAAAGGATGGTGATGTTCTGGGTTTTGCATATTTCTGTTGTCACATCACACTATGGGCTATCAGTGCCCTTTTCACTTATTAGTGCCTTTAAATCTAATTAGATTAGAAATGTCATTCCAGGAACATCATAACCAATTCAGAAAACTCATCTTCAAGAATCTGCCTCTCTAGAACCACTCTCAGCACCAAAATTTGAATCAGGCAAGTTTCTCCAGAGATACAGAACCAAGAGAAAAAATTTATACATATATCTCTATCTATCTTTAGATTTATCTGTATTTAGATAGACATTTCTATTAGAAATCTATTATTATTTATCTAAATACATAAATATTTATTTTAAGATTGGCTCACAAAATTGTGGGGGCTAGCAACTCTAAAATGTGTTGGGTAGATTGGCAGGTTGGAAATTGGCAGAAATCAATGCTGTAGTCTTGAGGAAGAATTTTTTCTTCTTGAGACACTTCAGTTTAAAATTCAGGTCTTCGGGGCGCCTCGGTGGCTCAGTCGGTTAAGTGTCCGACTTCAGCTCAGGTCATGATCTCATGGTTTGCGGGTTCAGGCACTGTATCAGGCTCTGGGCTGATAGCTTAGAGCCTGCAGCCTGCTTCAGATTCTGTGTCTCCCTCTCTCTCTGCCCCTCCCCCACTCATTTTCTCTCTCTCTCTCTCTCTCTCTCTCTCTCTCTCTCTTTCTTCTCTCAAAAATAAATAAACGTTAAAAAAAAAAGTCAGGTCTTCAATTGATTGGATGAGGCCCATCCACATTATTGAGGGTAATCTCCTTTACTTAAAATAAATTGATTGCAGATGTTAACCAGATCTTTAAAATACCATCATAATAACACACAGATTAGTGCTTGATTAAATAACTAGGTGGTATAGCCTAGTCAAGTTGACATATAAAATTAACATCACACATAATAAACTTACATTTTTCAACCAAATCTTACTTTCAACTATACCAAAAATCTTTTGAACAAGAATATCTTATGTGCTCCAAAAATGCAGTAAAATTTCAGCAGGAACGCTTTGGCAAGTGTACTGGAGGAACAGTCCTTCCTCCAAGACTGGAGAAACAAAACTTCCATAAACCAATTCTCTCCCACCTCAAAGAATACCATCATCTTTAGGAAGCTATAAGTGTATCAACATTTACAATTTTTTTATGTTTCAAAAATGTGATCTTCAACTACACAACAGAAATCACACTTTAAAATTATACTTCTGAGATCTGTCATTTTGGAAACTAATGACTTAAAAAGAGGGATGGTATCTACTGAATCTGTTGCTTACCTTTACTTTGACCAGAAAACTTGCAAGTTACTAGTCCATTTCCTTTCACTGACAAAAGTATAATCCAAACCAGGAGAAATCCAAAGCAGGCTGGATGACTAATGAGCCAAATAATCAAAACAGTGCATAAAGAAGTCTTATAAATGAATTGAAATAAATCTTGTATGTCCTTTAAAAAAAAAAAAGGATTTTTACAAAACTTTTCTTGGTAATTCACTCATTCAATCATCACCCAAGTATGCCAGGCACTGTTCAAGGCACTTAGGTTAAATCACTGAACAAAATGATCCTTGCCTTGTTGGGAGCTCACATTTTAGCAAGTAATGTCTTTATCGAGTTATTTTCTCTCTGAATATAATAACCCAAGCATTGGGAAGAATCAAGAAATTTTCTGAAAATCCATTATGTGCCAGCCAACTTCTAGTTCTGAGCCTGGCCTTCTAGCAGGCAGGGTTTCATTGTTAGCACAGCTTCTGGTCTCTGGAACCAGCTTGCCTGGGTCCAAATCCTAGTTTATTACTTCCTAGCTTCATGACCTTGGCCAAGTTACTTAACCCTCATCTATAAAAAAAATAAATAAATAAAATAAATCATAGCAACTACCCCACTGGATTATGTAAGAATTAAATGAGTTCAAATATGTAAAGCACTTACTCTGGCACACAGAAAATACCAAAATATTTGCTGTTATTAATTCAAATTTCAGAAAAATCAGACATTACTCAGGCAATAATGGGGGAAAATAACAACAATAGTAACTTTTAAAACATTTTTGTCTGGGCCATTCACTCCTTCCACTACAACTACATTCAAGCATTCTTCCTCTATTCTCAATTTACTGACTTTCAGTTAAGTTTTATAAAATTTACAAAATGTGATCTCTATGTATCTCATGCATGACATCAATTCATGGTGGAGTTTGCATGCACACATATTTAAGAGGTTTTTAATCTAATGAAAAAATTTCTTAAAAAGTCAAAATTAGATTCATTTTCCCTAAAATTACAACAGCAATTATCTCAAGAAATTTTAGCATCAGAACCAGTAAAAATGGCCATATGATCGCCTAGTTTTAATGCATGGATATGTACATAGTACATTCAATCCCTAGGACCTATATCTTTGCAGTTCTCAACATTCAGGAACTGAAGTTAATTCTCAAAACAGCTCACTCCATACAATTAAAAATACAAGCACAGTCATCTGAAATTGAAGGCTCATTCTCATTTGTTAAAAATAGGCCTCATTCTTGGTCCAAAGTTTATAGAGGGTCAACAACCTCAAAAAAAGGTTAATGCCCACAATTTAGAAGTGACTGGATTGGAAAGTACATGCTGCAATGTTGCCACCCCCAATGCAAAGTCTCAATGTAACTACCTACTGACAAGGCAGGCCAGCAAAATACGTTTTCAAAGTTGCTTTTAAAGGGATCAATTTTGGAAAGAATTCAAGATGAACTGTAAATCTAATCACGTTTTTATACCCCTAAGATGGGAGTGCTGAGGCACAACAACGTTAAAATGTGCATGCCATCAGTAACTTTAGTTCACAGATACAGTTTTGACCCTAAGTCCCTGGTTGAAATACCTGAACTATGGAAATCCCAAGTTTCAGTACAGTGGGTGCCTTGGGCTCTCCAGTGGAAACGTGAGGGGATGGCCAAAGTGAGTTTTCTCCCCCAACTATCCCATACCAAAGTCCAACCAACACAGAATAATACCACAATGTTTCCCAAGAATAGGGATGGGCTGCCCCCGCTCCAGAATCTGACAGATGAGAATGGCCTCCTCAGCGGGAGGTATGGCAGGTCTTCCCAAATACAGCGGTAGGGAACGACCTGCCAGTCCCTAAGACGTTGCTCATTTTTAAAGTAACTCCAAGAGCGGCGGCTCCCAGGCCCCTCCCTCAGCCGTCTTCTGACGAAGGGAAGAACAGAGGGCAAAGGGTTAACAAAGCACAAAGCTGAAAAACTATCCCCAAACCGGATTTGCCGAGCCAGGGGCCTAACAGAGAAGGGCGGGGGTGCTCTCTTTCGGCCGCCAGGGCTTGTGGGCAGGAGAGTGTGCAGGACCCTGGCCCTGCAGGCGGTTTCCCGGCACGGCCCGAGGAGCGGTGGGCGCCGGGCTGGTGTTGGAGTCACGCCCCAGGTCTTTTCCCTAACATGCACCGAATTGAAGGTGCCCTCTCGACCCCTCCCGCAGTTCTTTTCAGGTCTTGGGCCCGGGCTACCTCTTAGGACGTTGAGGCCACCGCGTTTTCCGCCGCACAGGCCGAAAGACAGCTCCTCTGACGCCACGGCGGTGTCACTCAGGAGAGTGACCTGATCAAACGTGGGTCAAGATGCCGGAACCCACCCGGGTCAGGCAGACTCTCGCCGCTCCCGCCCCGCCGCGCCCCCCCGCCCGGGGCCCGCCAGCCGCGCCCACTAACAACGTGCTCGCCACTGCCGGAGCCGCTCCGCGCGTCCCACAGCTGACCCCCACGCGCTGCACGACGGGACTCGTAGTTCCGGCGCAAAGGTCGTACGACGCTCCACTCTCCGCGGAGAGCGACGTCACGTGATCCGGCCACTCCCCGGAAATGGCGTAACAACAACGCGTGGCGCCGACGGTCGCTTCCGCAAACAGAATCGTGGATGGATGTGTAGGTGAGTGTGGCGGCTGGGACGCTGGCTTTTCTTTGAATTTAGGCCCTCTGCTGCCTTCGTTCTTGAAGGAGGACTCCAACTCTTGACACGCGCTCGCTTCGCGTTAGCCCTGTTCCTGCAGTACTAGTAGCGAGGGATTTATTGTGCACTCAGCCAGGAGCTAAGTGGGCAGTACTTGTAGGAGTTGGTGGGCTCTGTTGCTTCTCCAGACCGAGCGAGCCGGGATCTGGAGAAGCCAGAATTGGAGCCTCAGGCCGCACCTCAGTGGTGCCGAGAAGGCGGGTTGGGGAGGGGTTGTCAGATCCTAAGAAGCGTCTGTAATGAGCGGCGGTTTGGAAATACGGACCCGAGGTTTAGTAAGAGCTAGGCCGCGCCAATGACGGAAGAGGGTGAACTTGTCTGAAGATTTCCCTTCTCGCCTCTGTTGCGTCCTCCTAGGCCCCCGAGTTGACCCCCATCTAGCTGGCGGGTCGGGGCGGAACAATTACCTGCTTGAGGTTAAGCCAGGTGGCCCTGGCGCCCTACTCGGTCGTTCTTTGGGAAACTGAAATGACGAAGACATGGCCTGCCTCAGAGGTGTGACTGGAAAGCCAGGTCGAAATGCCTATTTGGATATTTAATAAACTTCCATCTCTATGTCAGTTTACTCAGTACCCTAAGCTCCTTCCTTGAGGATTCTGAGGGGCAGCTTTCTTTAGTTTGGAGTTTATTCATGATTGCACTTTGATGCTCAGTTTCTACTCTTACCTTACCCACCTCTGCGGTTCTTTGAAATTTTATGTTGTTTATTCTGACCTATTCGATTTTTTTTTTTACATCCCTTTCATAGATATAGAGTTGCCTATAAAATACAATCCACTCTTACTCCTAATACTAATTTTAGGCGCTGATTGCAGCCAGCGATGTTAAATCACATTGGTTTATTGGACTTTAAACCAATTTTTGTTTCCTTAATAGGAAATAAGTGGCAGGGTGGAAAAGATAGGCGTTTGATAATTTTGTGGCCAGTATTGCTACATAATGATTTTAAGTGGTTATTCTGAAAATTACATTTCTGGGTGATTTTTTTTTTTCTTTTATTCAGTTCTTCCTAGTTTGGCATGTCTTGGTATTTTGTTACCTACCCCTTGGTTATTGAAAGCTAATATCCCTTGAAACTTTTCCTGGTTTATAGTGACTTGTTTTTACCTATTCCCTTAAGCAACCTCATTTCTTACTCTATTTCTTTACTCAAAAGACCTTTTCCCCCTTCTTCATAATTTTCAGGTTCTGAATTTGCTGAATTTCATGGATTTTTTTACTGTTGCTCTCCCTTATCCATTTGGTTTGAATAATACAGCCTGACATTTTAAAAGTGGTATTTAGGCTGTAAGCTTCTTGAAGACTAACCAAATAGTGCCTTATTGAGATCCTTGTAGTAGGAGTATAGTGAAATTGTCAAATGACTCAAAAATTTCTGTCCCAGGGGCGCCTGGGTGGCTCAGTCGGTTAAGTGTCTGACTTTGGCTCAGGTCATGATCTCACTGCTCATGGGTTTCAGCCCCGAGTGTGGCTCTGTGCTAACAACTCAGAGCCTGGAGCCTGCTTTAGATTCTGTGTCTCTGTCTCTCTCTGCCCCTCCCCTGCTCACACTCTGTATCTCTCTCTCTCTCTCAAAAATAAATAAACATTTAAAAAACCCTCAAGGGGCGCCTGGGTGGCGCAGTCGGTTAAGCGTCCGACTTCAGCCAGGTCACGATCTCGCGGTCCGTGAGTTCGAGCCCCGCGTCAGGCTCTGGGCTGATGGCTCAGAGCCTGGAGCCTGTTTCTGATTCTGTGTCTCCCTCTCTCTCTGCCCCTGCCCCGTTCATGCTCTGTCTCTCTCTGTCCCAAAAATAAATAAACGTTGGAAAAAAAAAAAACCCTCAAAAAAAAATAAATTTCTGTCCTATAGTTCACTTATTTCTGTCCCCCTTCCATTTTACACATTGGTCTGTGAACATTAGAAACGGACTTAATAGTCATTAAGTTGCAGGCTGGGTCATGAAACTTCTTGTCCAAAGCTATTTATACTGTCTTTCCTTTCCAATTCTGACACGCATTATGAAATAAGGATTTCAGAAGTTAACTGTAGGTTCCCAGTCTTTTCCTGTTCTTGGTGCCCTTAATATCTCTGATTATTTTTCTTAGTTAACCATGAAGGATTACTAATGGGATGTATACACCTGTTAGGTACTCTCAAGCTTTGAAGTCAGATTTGACATTGCCAACTTCATTTCCTGATTCACATTGATTTGCTGTGGTACCACCACAACCTCAGCTTCACAAAGTTCTGATGTCATTGAAAGGAATGTAGTGCAATCTATTCATTTGAAACCTCTATTTGAAGCTGTATTTGTGATATCTTCCAGATGTCAGATATCATGGTTTCCCTTAAAATTTTAAAATACCTGCTGTACCTGTACAAGTTTGCTATAGTGTCCAGCTCACAATTTGGGAACCAAGGCTATAAAGTAAAGATCAGAGTAGAAATGAAACTAGTGCTTGTATAATACCCCCACTTCATCTGTCAGTTTCAATGGCAGTAATGACTTTTATGGATAAGATTGTATAAAGTGTTTGGGGATTATAGTTAGTACTTGCATATTAGCATATTCAGAGATTCATTTGTAATATAGACTAGTTAATATTTTCAATATTCTGTCTATAATGAGATTTTTTAACTCGTAGTTGATAACTGAGATTAAATGACTAGCTTCTGGTTAAAATTGTTTTAAAGTTTCAGCCTTGATGTTTACGAGTAATATCAAACTTTTGCCATTCCAGTGTTAGTTCACGAAATTTTACCATCTAAGTAATCAAAAATGGAAAATTCTGTAAAAGCAGAGTGTGAAAAGATCTCTCTTGAAGAGGCAAAAGCATCAACAGATTTGGAAACAGAGTCTTCATTCAGTATTAATGAAAACACAACCACTCCTGGGACTGGGCCCTCTGAAAAGGCTCCTATCTGTGGACACGTAGACACACCAAAAAAGAGAAAAATGGAATTTGAAGATGATATTGTAAAGGAAAGTTCTAGTTGTGGGGAAGACACTCCAACCAAGAAAAGAAAACTTGATGCTGAAATTGTTCCAGAGGAAAAAGGTTCTGGTGATGATGAAGGCATTTCAAGGAAAAGAAGAATGGAAACTGATGATTTTCCAAAAGATGAACCTTCTACTGGAGATGGCACACAGAAAAAGAGAAAAATAGAACTTGAGGATGTTCCTGAAAAGCAAAAAGTATGTTGAATGTGTTTTCTTTTACTCATAATGGAATATGTCACATTGGAATGTGGAGAAGCTGTGAGATAATACTGTTTTTTACATAATCTTAAACCTTAAGAATATAAGTTTGTAATTATTTTTTATCTATTTGTAATAGATAATGTCTTAAAAGATAGAGTAGGTTTTTAACTCTAATTTAGTTGCTTTTATTTAGATGAAACTTGTAATTGAGATAATTTTTGTTATTTAAGAACTCTTATTTGACTACAAACTTGAAAACCAGTTTTTATAGTTTGCTTTTTCTCAGTGTTTTAAAAAACCAGTTGATACATTTTTTTCCTTTTTTGTTAGGTATTCATCACTTTCTTGTGTCCTAAACAGTAGAGATTATGACTTAAGATGATAAATTTCAGTATTACACCCAGCTTTACATTCCTTTCTTTAAAAACATTTCTTTTTAATGTGTTTATTTATTTTTGAGATAGAGAGAGACAGAGCATGAGCAGGGGAGGGGGCAGAGAGAGAGGGAGACACAGAATCTGAAGCAGGCTCCAGGCTCTGAGCTATCAGCACAGAGCCCAACGCGGGGCTTGAACCCACGGATTGTGAGATCATGACCTGAGCTGAAGTCGGACACTCAACCGACTGAGCCACCCAGGCACCCCTACATTCCTTTCTTAATGTGATTCTTTAAATGATATTGTTTCTAACTTCTCATTGGTGTAGTACATGCAATTTTAAGGCTGATATTTAGCATGGATATTCTAGAACAAGGAACAGCAAGTTATTTTCATCTGGAAATACCATATTATGAAGGAATCTGAGGCAGAATCTGGATTTGAATAGAAAGAGTACTTCAGTGAATGAGTAAAAATTCTGCCATCAGTCTTGAAAAGTAAGGTGTCATATAGGCCAGGCATTTGTCGTTGGTGGAGTGTGAATTCTTGTTAACAGAGGGGAGCTTGTATTATAACCACAGTTTTCAAACTTTATTAGCAGCAGAACCTTTTTTTCAAGTGGAAATCTTAAACCTGGTATGTAAGATAGGTAAAAGATGAAGCACTTTGGTTGAACAGGGAAATGTGGGAATTTGAAGCCCTTTACCTACCATAGCATTTTTGCAAAATGCTTAGTATCAGGTAAGGAGCACAAACTGAAACTTTGGAGTTAGATGAAGAGAAAAAAAAAAAAAAACCACAAAAACAAAATCATTGACATGAATACAGCTTATTGAGTTCTAATTCCTTTGTATTATTTAATGCTTATGTGAGTTTTAGGATAATATAACTTATTCCTATTTTATTCTCTTATAGGAACCCCATCCACTGATGGACATTTATTGAATTGAATAAATCAGAACTCTGGAAGAGTACTGGTTTTATTAAGACATTGACACCAAAATTATACAGATGAAAGATCAAGATGAAAATTTTAAACCAAGAGATGTTTTTAAATACAGGAAACAGGGGAGAACAAATCTTACGTATGATTATAATTAGTAGGATTATGTGGTC